ATTTGAGCTTGGACTGGAGCATCAATGAATAGCCTGGGCTTATATCTGCTTCAGTCTCTGAACTCAACCTGCCTTTATATGGGAGTGTGATTGAGATGGATACTGTCAGCGTGTTTATATGAACCAGTATGTACCAGTGTATAAAAACTGAGTTTACAGGGTTTCTATTGTGTTTAAACTGATGCATTTACTGCTCTGTATGCTGCTATAAACAGCTGATATCTGTGATTACACTCTGACTGTCACATGGTCCAAACTGTGATTTGTGTTTGGATAAAAGCGTCTGACACACTGTCTGTCTGTCTGCCTGTCTGTCTGTCTGTCAGTCAGCAAGGGGCCAGACTGTGACTTTGAGGTCTTGACGGGTCGAGAGAGGCGAATGTTAAAACAGCGATCAGCTTCACAGCTGTCCGATTGTGTCCAGTCTCATTACTGAGACAGATTAACCCCGTAACCCCTCTCAACAAGAGAGAGGGCGAGAGACACAGGGGGAGAAGGAAAAACAGAGCGAGAGAGAGAGAGAGAGCACTTCTCAGGTTTTACGTTCCAGTCGTCAAAAAGCCAAAGAGAGGAACACAAACTTACAGGTTGATGTGTGATTTATTTTAAACACTTTTAATGATTTATTTTTAAGTTTCTGTATTTTTCTGCACTTATTTCTGTCCTTGCACTTTTCAATAAACTGTGTGACCGATCAGGGACGTAGGAACCTGTTGCTCTGCTGCTCTCTCGTTTTTATCACAACTGACCAAAATCAAACCGTTTTCCAAACATTCGACAAGCGTTTGTTTGCCTCAAAGCTCAGCCGACTCAACCAGCTCGCTATTGTTTGCCTAACTAACCCCAAAGTACATTTACTTTAAGTACTGCACTTCATGCAGTTTTAAGCAGCCCTGAATGTTTTCTACCAAACCGTATATGTACGTATACATTTAATTCAGTAACATTTTCAACATGTTTTATGGTATTTTTTATAGCGTGCAGTACTTCTTCCAGCACTGCTTCAGTAAGGTTGTCCCTCATCTGAAAACCCGCAGTTTATTTCACCCACACTTGATGCACACTTACCCTAATGCCTCTTTACAGCAGTACTCAGAGCTGAGTGTATCCCACAATTCATCACTGTCTACACCAACATCAGTCCAGCTGTTGCCAAGTGCACATAAAGCTCGTTTCAGGGCTGATACTAATCAATAAAGATGAAGAAGATGAAATATAACATATTGGATTCATTCAGTATTATGTCATCACAGTTCCACAGAACAAAATTATTTATTGTACACTTTTATTAATTAACTTTTGGCTCCCAATAAATGTGTCTGTGCTTTGATTTCACTGTAATTCTCGTCTTACTGTCCACTTTGGCCAATATTAGTTAGTTAGTAGTAAGTAATGTGGGTCGGAGCACTTCCTGGACTCTCACTGTAAAAAAGAAACATTGAGAAAACTCATTTATTATAATAACTGTCTGCACATGTATTTAAGTTAAGTTAAACTCAAACTTAAATTTTGAAATAACCTATAATCCTGTGTCCTGTCTTAAAACATTCTGTATGTCAAAAGATGTTTAATTATTGTAGTTGAAAATATGTAATTATTTAGTTTTTCACTTAAATGTGTTTTGAACATTTCTGAAATACAGATTTTTTTGTGTCCAAATTATCCGTTTCCTCAACTTCCAATTTCTTACAGTGTACATGTGGACACACTCCCAGGAACTCTCTTTTAACCAATTAAATGCCTTTATTGTCACAGTATTCTCAAGTTAGACCTTATAGAGCCTTTTGTTCTGTGAGTTTGACTCCCAATGAAGGGAGTCAGTGTTTTTAGGTCTAACTTGAGCATGCCATGACAGTAAAGGCATTTTAATTGGAGTTTTCTTGTGCTCTATAAATAACTGACTTCATATTATTATTCACAAATAAGTATCATAATGACAGAAAACCTTCTATATGAGAATAAACTTGTCGACATAAAAATTAAACATCATCGTTCTTTTATTATTAATTTCAAGAAATAAGTTCCTTCCATCACATTATGTATTTTATAAACAGAAGCCCTACATGCTTCACCATAACTGAACTGCCTCATTAACTGTATAATTCCTGGCAGACAGAGTGGATTTGTGTGTGTATGTGAAATAAAACCAGATAAAACCACTGTGAGCAGCTCCTGGAAGCAGAGACACACATACTGGGCCTTTAGTGGGCCTTTGGTGGCCCCAGCTGAGGATAAAACCAGCTGATGAACCAGATGGGTACGGTCTCACCTGAGCCTGATAGGCGGCTCGGTTCCCCCCTTTTTTTACTCTGAGTGCTCTGCCATCACCACAGGCCACCGAGCTCTGGCAACAGTTTCTTTTTGTCGCTGTCGTGCCAATAAAGCGGTTTGAATTGAGGGCACAGACAACGCAAGGCTGATAGTCGTGTTAGCTTACTGTGTGTCTGCTGTTCACGCTGCAGACTGCTTGAATATATTCCTTAATCTACCTCCATCTCCAGTGCTGGGCAGTAACTCATTACTAGTAATAACATTACATTCCTCGGTAACTACAGCGGACAGTCAGGACGGGCAGAAATAATCACTGGTGCCATCCCGCCCTCCAGTCAGGACTTTTACTTCCAGTCAGGAAACAACCTGTTCCCACTCCTCCCCTCTGGTGGGCGCTAAAGAGACACAACAACAGTTTTTACCCACAAGCCATTACTCTGATAAACAATTAACTCAATGTGTATTTTTCACTGTAGAAACAGAAATATCAGCTTGTTGTCCTGTTTGTTTATTCTTATTCTGTGTAGGGCCGTGTACTGGCAAGAATCTGGTGATAGGATACGTATCACGACACAGAGGTTACGATTCAATATATTCTGATATAAGTGATACTGTAAGCGAGACCATTAATTTGAAATTTAAATCTCATTTTAGGAAAACTTCTCTCAACAAAAAAGTGAGAGCAACGCACAACCAGAGGCCACCAAATACTGGGCAAATAAAAGTGACTCTGACTATCCAGCCCCATCCTTGGACTTGTGGTTGTAATGGTGGAATTTGGCGACCCCCTGCCTTATACTGCTTAAAGCCTTCAGCCCCCTCAGGTTGAACGCTGATCTGTGAGGTAGGAGCAGATGTTGGATTCCTCCTGAATGATCAGGTAAAAAGTTTATGGTCGCTGCAGAGAGAAAAACAGGTAGAGAGACATCCTGTAACAGTAGGAGGGAAAGAGAGAGAGAGAGA